TAAGCGGTCACTTTATTGTCATGTTTAATTTAGAATTGTCATTTTAGTTGCTCTTAATTCTAGGTGCAAGTTGCTAGTCTAGTGTTTTGTGTGTCCATATTGTCTGGGGGGGTATTTTTTTCTTTTTTTATTGTTTTGTTTTTAATAAGGACCTTTCTTTTGCTTGCAGGAAAAAAAGTGGAAAAACACATCAAGTGCAAGAAGCTTAAAACGGACATCTGTGTGTTATCTAAATCGGTTAATGGCAGTGGCAGTTTTGATGCACTGGAGCATCAAAATGTTTGATATAAGCATGAGCGTTTTACAGTATCTGCTAACTAGCAGACAAATGCCTTTGAATATGATAGTTGCTTTATACAGATAGATTATTAACTTAGATAATATTGGTAGTGAGGTATTACTAAAAACTCGCACAGAAATAGCTTACTGCTCCTTCAAGGAGCAGTTCTTGTGGATTCCTTCCTGGGTCCTTCAAGGACCCAGTTCTTGTGGATTCCAGTGAAGGCTGAAGTACGACATGAGACCTGTCAGTAGGGGCAGCAGCTCTGAATGTTTCGTAGAATCACCAGGTGTAGAGGAACAACTTTTGATCTTGTCCTCTGCAGCTTTACAGGCTGAGCTTCCATGCTTTGGCAACATTCATTTTTCACCAGTCCATGATTAGTTTTGGTTTTCTAAACCCCTCCATGACTCCGTTTTTCTGCAGTTGTCTGCTTTCTTGCACTTGTTTGGCGGTTCCAAGAGCCGCAGCATTGTTCATGTTCACTCCAGCTGCCGCAGCGTGTTTGTAGTTTTCTCATGAAAACACATAGTGCATGAGCTCCTGAGCTTGACGGGGGTTTTGTTTGTTTGCTTTGACAGGCAAGCTATCGTTTAGTGACGCGCCTGTTGCATCCCTTAGTTTTTTCTTCCAGCTTTTCCATTCTCCTTAAGGACAGACTGCCCCGTAGCTCAACATGGGTTGTGCTGTCTGCTCTTTCTGGTCTCTGCAGTGCCAAAGCCTTCCGGCAGGATCTTCTTGCTCTTAGAAATTGCAGGTGTTTCAGTGCTATCTGCTAATAAACTCTAGATGATGGTATCTGGCACAGGAAAAGAGAGCAAGAGAGAGCACCTGGAGCTAAGTTTAGCCTGATGCCTATTCAGACACCCATTCAGGTGAAATTCTGATGAAGAGTAGATTTGAAACTGCATTCATTGGTTGAAAGTTATTGAGCATTGACTTAATCAGCTTATTTCTAGGGACTGAACGAGATCTTGATTTCAAGGGTTTTATAGGAAATCATTTCTGAGAATTACTTTCCCCCCCCCCAAATGCAAGCAAGACCTGAAGTTCTCACTTGCATGACAGGTTATCTTGCTGTAAAGGAAGGTTTGTAATGGGCTTCTGCAGTTGATGCCTGTCTGTGAGAATAAAAGTGGATATTTCCTTTGCAGAGGTGCTAGACTTGTGGCTTGTAAATTAAAATTAACCTTGTTGACTCAGGAGATGCTCTTAATTTACTCTGAGTAGTGAAAGGAAAAACATGCTTGTAGATGTTTGGCATAAATTTAATTGTAATATTTAGAACTGAGGGGTTTCTTTTTCTGTGCTGTTATTTCCATGCTCCTAAAAAGAAGGTGTTAGGAGCTGTATTGAAAGCAACGTGCAGAGCAAGTGCAGAATGTTTTGGAAACTCTGAGATCTTTTCAAAGTAAACGTGGGAAAAGGGAACTTGCCCTATATCTAGGTATCTAACAAGAAGAAATTGACTGTGTGGCATCCTAAATTTGTGGAGAAGCACTGTGTTCAGAAGGTGCTCCCTGTTCCCAAACATGTGCAAGATAAGTTAAAATGACGAGCTCTTGTTTGCACTGCTGATGGCAGATACCATTGCTATCGAGTACCTAATTACAGAGAGAGTAGCTGCTGTTTCTAAGACAGTTTTATGTTGCTTATAGTATGTTCATTGTCAACAGTCCTGGTTAATCTCTATTGCTTCTTGAGAATTTTTAAAATAATGGTAGTTGGAATGAGGCTAAGGAAAAATCTATTGCATCCATTATTTTTGGAATAAATTTGACTAGGAAGCTCCAAAACCTCTATTTAAAGGAGAAACTTTGTTTGCAATGGACAGTGACTCAGCCAATGTCCAAGGTTTTTTGCTTTGTTTTGCCTTTCTTCCTCTCCAACAGTCTTCACGAATACTTGCCACTGATTGCCTAAGTCATAAATCCTTGAAAAGTTTTGCTAACATCTTGTAACAAACTGCCAGTTCCTAGCAGAGCACCTCGCCTTGCAGGCTGCGAGCTGAGCTCTCTAGGTGCGTGCAGGAGGGACATAGAATAGCTTTGGGGTTTGCAGTTGGGAGCCTGGCTTGGTGTTGAACCCCCTGTTTTTTCAGGTAGCGGACCTGATGCCAGAAAGGGCCCAGATAGTTTAGGTTTAGATTTGGTTTAGATTTAGGTTTCTAGTTCCTGGACACAGTCTGTACAGGTGAGAGAGCTGTAAATTACAAGGACTGGACAGCAGCAGAAGCGGCGAACAGACTTGAGGGGACACTAGGAAATGAGGGTGTTTGAATGTTAATAATCTTCCTAAAACTTTCTTGGGCAATCATTGATGATACTTCTTTCATTCATCTGCACAAATGTAGCTGCTTGCTACTGGCTTTTAGTCATCAGTTCAGATGATGGATTGAAAATACCAGCACGGCTGCTGGCTTATGTGGGCTTTGACGTTTTGCTTGGGGGTTACCTATATTAGAATAGTACTGAGTGAACAAAGCGGATGCAAAAGAAGGCAGCTAATGCCAGAACTGTAATTCCCTGCATGACTTCCAGTTATTTGTGCCAAGTTATTCAGAGTAGTAGAGGTGATGGACAGTAGTAGAACTGTGAGGACTTGTAGAAAAACAGTAGAAGGCTGATACAAAATGATAGTTCAAAAGGTCAGTGTAAAGTGATGCACACATGGTAGTGTAAGAAGGGGCTGCTCTAATTCTGTACACCAATAAGCTGTGAAATTCTGCTAAGGCTCAGGAGCAAGATCTTGGCCTGTGATGCTGTTCCATGGAAACTTGATACTCAGTTGGGGTCAGAAAAGATGGTTTTACTTTTGGGAACTGAAGAATTTGGGGAATCGCTGAGAAGGGAGCTGAGGACAAGAATAACAACGTGATGCGGCTACATAGATCTGTGACTGACATGCCTTTTGGATGCTGTGTAGCATTCTCATCCTCGCTACTGCAGAGGATGGCAGAACTAGAAGAGCTTTGCAGGAGAGCAGAAAGGGTGATTGGCGGCACGGGATGGCCTCGCGGCAGGCTCTTGTGCTGTGCTCCTAAGCCTGTCTTCCAATGCAGATCATACCAGGCACCACGGAAGCTCCCCGGTGGTGATATTGAAATGTGAGACTGGTTTTAGCATCGAGTAGGTAATTAGAGGGAGCCCTCGCCAAGGGCTTTTCGTGGATACTGAATTTACATGGCTCTCAGGAAGGAGTATACGAGCCCATGGAGGAGGGATTAGCCAAATACTGTTCAGGTGTGAAAATATTCCCATTTTAGGCGATGCCTGAAAGGTAAAGATTTTGGTGGCTTGTACGGTGTTACTGCCTGTGATCAGGAGCTCTGAGGTGACCTGTGTGGCTGTTCTTAGTGGAGTTACTGGTTTCCACCGGGCTTTGAGGCCTCCTCTCTCCTAGCTGAGCCGGTGTGGAAGTTTTCTTTTCTCAACAAGGCTGCCCTGATGCTGCAAAGCTGAAAGCAGCAATGAGCAACGTGCTAAATGGCCATGATAAGGTAATGCCTAACGCACTTGCTATGGAAATCTGTGGGCGTTTTGCTGCAGGGGCAGTTTGCGTCCCAGCCTGCGCAGCTCGCCCTGGTTCTGCTGCCTGCGCATCTGGCCCTGCGTTTTGCGCCGCCTCCTCGTTGAGCAGGACATGGGGAAGAGCACTGGGGCCTGTGTGCAGGGCTCTCCTGAGCTCCTGGGGCCCTGGGCACTAATACAGAGTAAGAAGTCTTGGATCCTGCTAGTTAGTAGAAGCGGAAAAGGGTCTCGTTGCTGCTTTGAACTACAGTCTGCCATCACAGCGTGTATTTTGTAACAGGCTCTGGGAGTGTGGGATTTACTGAAAGATCTGATACGAGGGCTCAGGAGCACCGCTGGTTGCTGGCCTAGAACTTGGTGTTGGTTTGGGGTGGGGTTTTTTTGTTCATTTGCTTGTTTTGGTATCAGTATAGCAAAATCCTTGTGTTGGAGGATTTCTGGTAAGAATCAAGTTTAAAGGGTCTCCGCGATGGCTTTGAGGTTACTGTATGTAAGTGCTGTTGGAGAACTTGCTGCGGGTCCCTCATCATCCACAAATGGAGGCAATGCCAGCATCAGGCACTTACCTCCTACCTTCTCTGCTATCTGGTTGTTCAGCTGAGACAGCTCTACCAAAATCTGCAACAGTGCTTTTAATTCTTAATTTTTCAAATGAAATGAAATGTTCATTGAGTGTAGAAAGTCATACAAAAATATAAAATTATCTAGGAGATATTTACAGTGGTGAGATCTTTCTTTTCTTCTCTTTATTTTGTTGTGTCTTTTCCACTGTAAAATGAGAATAATATTCAGTACTGTAATAGAATGAGATTATATGTTCTGGAGAACATCTCAGAGGAAAATAAATACCTTTAAATATATTGCAGGCCTGGCTGGTAAACAAATGGTAAACAAAAGCTCTCTGAACAAACAGAATAAGAAGAAATATTGAATAACTCTGTGTGTTGGGCACTAAATGGCATGAAGGTCGTATAGTGAATCATGAAATGAAGCTCTCTCGTACAAGAGTGCATAAATCGATGTTGCATTAAACATTGTATACTAGATTAAAAATATAGCGGGCAACTTTGTTGATCAATGTAAGTAACTTTTCCTTTCCCTGTTTTTCTCCCCTCACCATCACCCCGTGCTGTTGTACCTGCACGAATTCATTGCTGCAATGGTGCAAACTCATCATCTTGACTGGACTGCTTTTGGATATTTCCCACGTGTTCCACGCTGGAAATGATGGAAATATGTTGTTTACAAAGTAGCTGTAAGTATCATTTTCTAATAGCTATACCACAAGTGCTGCAGGGCTGAAAGAAACATTGAGGTTTTGGTAGCTGAGCTGCAACTGAGCTTAGGTAGCAGATAGCCAAAGCCAGACAGGGATAAAAGTAAAGGAGGAGCTAATGTTAAGTGTTAGAAACACGATATCTCACCTGGCACAATGATCAGTGGAATCAGTAGAAGTTAACACTTCAAAAGAAAGAGTAATAAGTTACTGCTAAAGGCTGTTGTAGGGTTTTAGGAAGCTTAATTCCTAGTTCACACAAGTAGGAACTCTGTGAACAAAGGCGATCTTTTAAAAATCACTATTTCAGAAGTTTCAGTTTTGATTGGTATTGGCGTGCCAGAAATCTGCATCTAGTAACTGATTTCAGTTTTTTAAAAGGTAGTTTCCTATTGATAAGGAATAAGTGCTGATGTTAATACAGCATTGTTGCCACAGATGGCACTTTATACATCTTTCTGATTAGTAACTTTTCTATTTCATTAAAATAAATTAAATTATAGATGAAAATATGTTTTAGACTTCTTGTAGACTTGTAGAGTTGCTTGACAAATTAAAAAAAAAAGTTGTTATCTGTTCTTATTCAACATTAAGTAGTCAGTGTTTTTTAAAGCTCTTAGTAGTAAATTATCCTAAATGTGAAATATGTGTGAAGGGGAGTGTAGAGAAAGAAAAATAACTTAATCAAAACAACAATTACATTTCAAAACAATCTTTTAAGCAAAAGTGTTACCTACAACTAATGAGGGGGGTGAGCTGTTTCTGGTAAACATGACATACTTTAAAAGGTATGTAGGTATTAAAGATGCAGCTGATTGACAAGTAAAACTCTAAGGAGTGTCTGAGTATGACTACCCCGACACCAGTTTATACCTGGTAGCAATTGCAGTCTTAATATGTGTGAAGGATAAAGAACGTGTCAGGTAATTTGCCTGAAGCATTGGCTCCTGTTTAGGGCTTTAGAATATGCTTGTATTTTTTGTACATAGTTGTAGTAATAGGAAAATGAAACAGACTTTCTGCACTTACAAATTCGTAACTGACTTTCTAAACATTTTGAAGCCTTTCAGATGAGGCTGTTGCTAAACATCTGGGTATTTGAAAGGAAAAGCATCTTAGAATAAGAGATTTCCTTGATGAAGCAAGGCCAGCATTCATGTTCTGGAAAAGATTAACATTTGTTGTTAGCTAGTTGTCTCTAGATGTTCCTCATTTGATATCTATATGAGTTGAGGAATTAAGTGATCCTCAGACTGCTGTGACATCAAATGCATTTCCAGGAATCTACTAGATGGATAGTTAAGAAGTAGCATGACTGATCTCTGGAGGATTGCAAGATACGGTATGGAGAGGGAGAGGCATTTTGAGCTCTGGCAACATTTTTGCTAATGTGAGGATAAGGAGAGGTGAAATGTTGCAGTAATGGCTAATATTCAAACTTCTCAGCTCTTTCCACAGTAGGAAACTTTTGAATAACTATTTCAAAGGAATTGAAGTTTTGTCTTTGAGAAGAGGTTGTTGAAGCGTGTGCTGCATTACCAGAGGTTTAGATTTAGATTTACCATGAAGGCCTTACTAAAAGCCTCCAAATATGTGACTCAGGAGGAAGAGGGTGTCAAGTTAGTCACCACAATATTGCAGTGGTGCCACTCTCAGGAATATAGAAAAGCTACAGAGATGCTACTTGTCTGAGTTTTAGATGCCAGTTGGAACAAAGTTGATTGTTTTAATCTGTTTGCACTTGTACACTGCTTTTGTTGTCCAGGCATAACATAGTGATTGTACTTACTCACAACACTGTTGGCATAGCTAGCCTTCTGTGTCAGACTGCATAGCTAGTCTAAAAACCACAATTTTTTTCTGCTCATTTTTTATTGCTAAAGTTCATTATATTGTCTGATGTAGGCAGCTTAGGGTGTTGGTAAGTAGTAGGAATAAATAACATCTTTTTGTAAGTGTAAGAATGAGGTTAACATTTATATAACTGAGCCAAAAATTAATGCAAGCAGAGGAATAAGTTACCAACTTGTCTTTTTCTCCCTAAAATGTTTTCTGCTTTAGCAACAGAAGAACCTTGAAGGATATGTGGGGTTTGCAAATCTTCCAAATCAAGTATACAGGAAGTCTGTGAAGAGAGGATTTGAATTCACACTCATGGTAGTAGGTAAGTTGCTTTCTGTGTCCATTTCGAGTAGTGATCATTGGAAGTGTTTTGGAATAGCTTTTAGAATTTACCGCAACAGAGTATATATTTGCTTTGCACGGTCTTATTAACAGAGAAAGACGCATATTTTCTAGAATGTTTTTAAAGTCCCGAATGTTTAAAAATAGCGTGTCATCTGTTATGCAAGTAGACAAAGAGCAGGAGGAGAATAATAGCTGTATAGCTCATATAGCCTAAGGAAAAAACAGATTGGTGTAGATCTAGTCTAAAAATTGATTGCCTATATGACATAATAGAGGTAATTTGAACTCATTCTCATTAAAATAATAATAAAAAAGAATACTTTTTTATTACTGCAAGCACAACATGGCAGTTCAGGACTCAAGTGTAAAGTTAATCTTTCCTTGCACATTACCAGTCACCATGATCAGGCATATCCTGCATTTCTGTGGCCACAAAACTGTGCTGCAAGGTCAAAGCTTTAATTTAAACAAACCTTTGTAGTTTGTATGGTTGCAAAGAAAACCAAATGTAAACATGGAGTTTCATATGGACTACAGAGAATTTGAACAGCAGTTAGTATGAATGAATAGTGCTGCTCATAAATTTGTGTGCTTCTTATTCCCAATCTGTTATCTGCCCTTCTTGGGCATCAGGTTTTCCTCTTTCTCTTCTCCTGATTACTTTTCTGATATGTATATGTGATGGTCAAACAGTTAAAGCATCTTAAGCTCTGGGGATAATGAAATTAAAATAATAAAAATACAAATCACGCTATCAATATATGTGTAGTTTGGATAGATAGATAATGCTTCAATGTTTTATTATCGATAGAATTGATGTTCTGTGCAGCCATTATGCCCACGTAATAGGTTATACAATGGTACTATTGGCGGAGTTAAAAATCTGGGTTCAAAATGATAAAAACTCTCAATAGATCATTAAGTTATTAATTTGCTTTGCAATGACGAAAATAATAATTTTTGAGGGTTTCCTTTATTCTCAAACATTCAGTTACATAATTCGTCATTTGTTGCAAAACTGTTTAGTCTTAACAATAAAATTTTGATTTCTGCTATTTGCCATGGAGGGAGAAAGGAGTTTCATAACTGAAGAAGGTGAAAACAGCCTAAGTGTTTTACCAGAATGGGTTAAAATTTGCACTTTTGTGTTTCATTCTCATGACAAACAGGTTAGTTAAGGCACAAAGAGATGCCATATTAGAGCTGTAGAAAGTGTATAATTTTACCCTAGTGTTCTTACCGTCTGTAGTAAAGTGCAATCACATTAGACTGATGTGAACTGTAGAAAATAGTGGCCCTTAAGAGGAAAAGTTGGCCGAAAGCTGGACAGGAAATAAGATGTTGATCAGAAAGCTTTGGTACTAGTCCTATTTTTAGTACCTCTTTTATTACTTACTACTAAGACTATTTCATCTGTAAGCATATTTGTGCCCTTGTCAGGAAGTTTACAGGGAGAATTGTCAATAATCTATAGAAGAGTGCTTTTCAACATGCCCTCCCACACCCCACGGCCCTTCTTGGGGAGCGTAGAAGTGTCGGGTATTTGTCTTGGACAGTGCCAGCGCTTCTAGGTATCAAAATCAGCAGGACAATTGCAGGATACATGCTCAATGGCTCTGTGCAGTGTTACTCGCTCTGATTTTCCACTTTGCTTTAGTTGAGTTAACAGGAAACAATACCCCTCAGAGTGCTTTAAAGTGAGTGTTTAACGTCTTGGGGAAAAATAATTTTGTTCTGTGACTTAAAATTGATGCTTCTGTCAGTAGTATGCCCTGGTAAGGGACATCTGTTTTAAATATGAAGATAAAAAAGTTTGTGTTTTACTGAACACTTTTTATTGCTGAATGCTGGAGTTTTAGGAATGACCTTATCAGTTGCTGCATTCATGCTTTGTGGAGGTGTGTTCTGGCTTGAATTGAGGCCCGTAGGTGATGCTACAATATAGTTCTGTAATAGTGAAGGGAGTTATCCATAAACCTGAAATATTCCTCTCTTTCGACTACTGAAATTCATGTTTGCATCGCTTCCTGTTTACTGGAGGCTTCACATTGCTGGTCTGCTGGCTGTGCTTTATTTGTAGATACTTCAATATGCTGCATTGCCCATTTGTTCTGAAGAGAGAAATGAGAAGAAATGCATGTGGTGCTAAACAGATACAAGGAAGAAAACAGGTCGTGTTTGGGATCTGTGATTTCAGTGTCTGGCTTTTCAGATGGTTGTGAGGCTTGACACTGCAGCTAGTGTATTTCTTTTAAAGTTGTTTCCCAGTTGTTCAGTTAGTCTGGAATGGTCATTTAAACTTCAATGGACTTGTATAGTAAGATAACTGGTTTCTCAGTCTTAAAACATTTGCTGTGTCAGTATTTTGAGTGACATGCCAATATAGTTGTGTAACCACACTGACTTGCAGAAGCAATGCGTTTTTCAGTGTAACTGTGTATGGCATTCACCTCTTGTCACTAAGTAGTAAGTACAGACTCCAACAAAATCTAAAATTCTTTTTCTTCTGGTAAGAATTTTTAGAGGGAAATCAGTTTTACACTCTTCCCGTTTTTTTCCTGTATGTGCAAAACATGAATGTATTTGTCAGGCGTGTGTTCCTCAGGCTGCTGAGTTCCTGTTCGTGCCCTGTAGAAGACAGACCTGTCCATAGCAGCATGTAGTAAAATCACCCGACTTCACCCACTTGGTTTGTGCAAGGGAAGTTGGAGAGCTTCAAACCTGGCTGTCCACAAGATCTACTGATCTTTAATAGCCTGGGGTAAAGTTGTGGGCCCAGGTCCTGCTCTCTGTTGGTTTGACCTAAGCTGGTTGGGGTGCAGCTTTGGAAGCGGCTGCATTTCAGCCATGCGGGCAGATCACTGGCCTGGAGGTTGATCGGTGGGCAGGATTATATTCAAGCCTTACGTTGCTAATGAAACGTTTGTGGTCAATATTGTTGCTAATTGCTAAGTGTTCTGGTGTTTACATTAATTCTAACTAAAATGAGAAATATTTGTAAAATATGCATGTAGATAAAAACATAAATGATTGATGTTCAAGTATCGTTTTTTTGTACTTTAATATTTTATTAACCATTAAAAAATTATTCCTAGCAGAAGCTGGGGCTCCTATATAATTGTCCATAGTACCCATTTCGTACGACTCCTTAAACATCTGTACTTGCTTTCTTTTCTAAACTGCCTTGTTTGCTTTTGTAATATTTTTTAAACTTTTCTTGAGAAAATGAAGTCTGAGAAGCAGTTTGTTTTCATACGTGATCCGTTGTAATTTACTTGGCATATAGAACTTCACAGGACCAAAAATTTAATGTTACTCCTATTCTGAAAGGCTAATCAGTAGTTTAAATTACACTTTTTTTTTTAATATTACTTGGTTTTGTAGAGTAAGAGCTAGGAGGCGGTTCCTCTGGGGACAAAATATGAATTGCAGTAGGTTCAGCCTATGATTTGATTCTTGATGCTTTCAACAGCAGAGCTCCGAGTAGCAGTCCCAAGCAGCTAATTCTGCATCTCACCAGCATGGGGGAAGAAGGTCAACGTTGTCTCTGCCAGCTGTTTTCCTTGCAATCTTGTGTCATTTCTTCAAGTATAAGATACTTGTTAAAACACTTGAGAACCCAGTGTAAATATTTAGTCCGTTTAAAATCAAAATTGGAGTCTCTGTATTTCTCTGCCGTGTAGCTTTTTTGGAGGAAAGTGCCTGCCCAAGTCAAACTCTTAAGAAAAGCAAACTTCAAAAGCAATCCTGTCATGATTAGTAGCTCATGGCTAAAGGAAACTCCAATTATGAAATGGAAGTTAAGTCTGTTTATTAGTCTGGTTATACTGATATAAGTAGTAGGTGTGGTTTCTCCTTTTTGTTTTAATGTGATGAGACATGGAAAAAAAGCAGTTACTTTTCACTGAGTTGTTTTTCTAAATACTGAATCAGGAAATCCCTCTTCTGTTCTAACTGTTGTTCTGAAATTAATACTGGTAACATCCAATTTTAACAAGAGCCAAAGTAGATGCAAAGTCATAATTACTAATTTTTTTCCTCTCTTAGACTCTACCTTCTGAAGAATAGCTAGTTGGGGTGGGTTTGCATAGAGCTGCTTGCTTTAAGATGCTGATGAGCTTCCTGAGCCTTACGAGAATTTGAATTGCTGTGTGTTTTTTTTTTTTTTTCTTCTGACTTGAAGAGCAGCATCCATGCAGCCAGGTAACTTTCCAGAAGCCCCTTCCATGTTTTCCTGTTTTCTCGAGTGGCTCTTTGGTAACTTGCTCTGTCTCCAACAGCAGTTTGGAAACCTCTGCTGTAGTAAAGTGTCTGTTCAGTTTTCTAAGTGTTGCTTTAGCCTTGTAGGTCACCAGCAGATTACAGCTTAAAGGAAAGTGTCAGACAGAACTGTGCTTTTGTGTTTCATTGGTAATTATATAGCCACACTAAAATGCTTTGGTTTAAGCATGACTTTTTGGCCTGGACACCGGGGAAAGGGCTGTATTTTGCAGGCCTTGGAGTGAACACCATTTTTGAGAAAAAGAACACACTGACTTTAAAATGGCTTTATTGGTCACAGAAGAAAGTAGAAATTGGTTTGATGTTAGTATCTTCCAGTGATTGATCATGTTCTGATTAGAATTACCCTCTTAATTTGTTCACTTTCTGGTACAGTTTATTCAACTGGCCAACAAGTGTATGGCCCATTTTGGATGCTTATATTTACCTTTTACTTCCCCTAGTCTAATAGCTTTTTTTTTCTTGCCCACACAACTGTATTTTAAAGGCAGAAACAAAACTATTAAACATACGGGGTCGGACAGGGTTCTAATTATGTGTAAAACAGCCTGTAGACAGGCAGTACAATCAGTGCATAGTGTTTTGGGATGTTCCCAGTCCTTGCTGACCTGCTGTGGTTTGAAAACTCAGTGCCCCTCTTAAGGTTTCTCTAATGCACTTACTATCACAGTATCTGAATATGTGTTTGTCCTTTGGTGTGTCCTTTATTTCAAATCCATGGAGAAACCACTGAATATTCAGTGCCAAACTCAGCCCTTATCTTCAAGGCCTCTAGGCTCTGCTGCAGTACAGATAAAGCATAAATTAAATCACACTTTAAACCTTGTGGAGAAAAAAAAAAGAAAAAAAAGTTCTGATCTTTACAGTCAATTCTTAGCTTCTCTAGGCTATATTATTTCATTTTCAGTTTTTTGGCTTTTTCTTGTAGCCAGAGGTGTATACGCTGGTGTCATAATTTGGAAATGAAAAGCTTCCTAAGGAAAGGAACTAGCAGAGACTGTTTTGACTGTTCTGTCTCCCTGCTCCCTTTCTCCGTGTAACTTCACTTCCTCAAAGCACCTCAATTCCTCTAATTTCTTCACATCCTCCACAAAGGTCATGTTTTCTTCCATCACCATGAGCTACTTGCAAGATAGCTGACTGTCCAGTACTGCCACTTGCAAGACAGCTGAGTGTCCTCATGGCACATTGGGCCACAGCCCAACCCTTCTGTGGAGGAAACTGCTTGCTCACATTCATGTGTTGTACAGACAGCTTTTTTTTTTTTTCCTTTTTAATGATCATTGTAGAAACTTGCAGATGAAACTTTCCCTCAGGAAACTAGATTAAAAAATTAGGATTTGAAGCTACAAGCATTTCATTCACAGGATTATGAGTTGTCAGCAAAGTGCAGAAATATAAAGGTTCTGTGAAGATTTTTTTAAATGAAAAAAGAAGTGCGTATATATTACACTTCAGGTGCTGGCTCTGTGGATACAGCCCGTTCTGGCAGTGACTACAGGATGTTAATATTGACAGTCGTGAGGATGACAGAGCACTGAAGGGAGCTTATGGAGTTTCCTTCTCTGGGGATACTCGGAACCCACCTGCATGTGGGTTTGTCTGTAACAATTTAACTGAAATGAAATTGATTTTTTGCTAGTAGAGTAAAAATGCTTCACCACTGCATGTTACTGCAAATGCTGATAGATAATGGTGTTTAACATATAAATCGAAACTCTTTTTAAAGGAGGTACTTACCCACTAGGTGTGTTTGCTGCTTACGTTGCTTATCACTTGGAGAATGGTTGTTTGACCCTGAAAGTCACCGCTTGTCCTTGGTTTTGGTGGCACAGAGTAACACAACGTTGCACCTCTTGTAAGTCAAGAGGTGCAAGGAAGTCTTGGAGTCAGTGTCGCCTCTGCCGCCTGTCGCTCCGTAGCCTGTGTAGTCGGGTGCTGCCTGCTGGGCTGCTCCCGGGACCTCCTCTGCCTCAGGTCTGGAGGGAGATCCAGGCTTGTGTTGATTTATTCTGGGCCAATTCGGTGCATTTCAACAGTGCCGCTTCTTTCGCCACTGCACAGGGGTTTCTTCTGTAGTTACGGGGTCTGCCTTGCCTATTTCTTATCAGTAAAGGGTTGGAAGTCAGAATTTTGTATAGGTGAGTGTACTGGTATGAGTTGAAAATCGTTTGTCTTGCTGTTGGCTGAAAATGCTACTCCTACTTGTTGTATCAGGAAATGCCAACAATTTCAGGAATGAATAGGTTAATCTTGTAACTAAAGTGGTGTTTTTGGATAGAGTGTTTGTGGGTTTAACTTCCCATTGTAGTAAAGCCACAGTGACCCACTGAACATGACTTTTCTGGTTCAATATATGTGTTTTCCCTCTGACTTGGCAATAGCCAACATAGGTCCTCGCTCACAATCCATTTGAAGCTGCTGAATTTTTGTTTCTCCTGTGTTTGTCTGAATATAGTGTGACTGTTTTGAGCAGCTGTTTCATTTGGGTTTTTGCTGCTTTTGTCTTGAACTTCTGAGCACTATTGCTGATAAGTTACATATTATACTGTATCCTTTTCTGGATTTTTTTAAGGGAACAATTATATTCTTAGAACCTTTTTCTTTAGCTTTGGTTTCTTTTTATAATAAACCATTCAGAATTTTTTCTCCTCGCCTGTATTTCGCGATGTTATAGTCATTTGCCAGAATCAAATACTTTAGGCAGAATATTTAGATTGTATGACTGGCTGGGGAGGGAGCAGGAAGGAAGGTTGCTGGAGTCAACTGTTGTATCAGATCAGTTTTTCTGTTTGGATTGTTGTCATCTCCTACTTCCCAGCCCGCCTTCTCACTCCATGGAGCTGTTGCAAAGCCATCTCCAGGAGGGCGGCAGGAGCCGGTGCTCTCAGGGCATTCAGCTCCTGGCCTTCGTCGGCGTGAGCGGTGGCCCAGCTGAAGGGTGGCGCAAACAGAACGGGGCAAGGGCAATGAGGCAGAGTGCCTGCTCGTGGGGTTTATCTCTGGGGCTGCGGGGAACAGTGCTGCTTT